ACAGCATCTACATTAAATAGCGGTTGTATTATGATTTCACACAAAATCTCAGATGGAGAAGAATGTTTGGTCGCTGAAATGGAAGGCAGCTGGACTGATTAATATAGCTGTGTATCTGATGGTGTTATTCATCTCTGAATAGTGGCTGGAGAACACGCTTATGGAAGAAGACATGTTTTGATTGTGTTAAATAAATAGAATATCAATATTTGCTTTTCACTAAGGAATAACAAAGGTGTGAACTAGAGGATTTGTCTAATAACATGCCCTCTTTTCTCCTCTCTGAAACTTTTACTTTCAAGCTAAATCATCTACCTCTATCTCCTGTGTCTCCTCCAGCCAGCAAGTGTCAGCGGGCCTTCTGGCTGCACACCAGTATTGACAGGATGAAAAGGTTCAGGCGGCACGGTCAAGAGTCCCAGAGGGATCGGATAAAACAGGAACTCTTCGCGTTTAATAAGGTAAGTAAATTAGACCATACCACACAGTTTGTCATCTGTAGTGATGTGGTTCAATGTGAGTGATGAGAAGAAGAAGACAAAAATCATTCAGGAGACTCTGAACTATCTGCAGTCATGATATATATTCAAGTGGCCAGGTTACTAAGCAGAAACAGAAAATAAAAGTAACCAGAACAAGATCAAGTAAGCTGTTCACTTTAAATTTATATATTAGTTTCTTTTTCTCGTGATTTTTGTCTGTACACCACCATCGTCCATTTAAATCAAACAACAGAGGTGTGATTGAAGTGCAAGCACTCAGCTTTAATTCAAGGGCTTTAACAAAAATATTGACTTAACTGTTATGGAATACAACCACTTTTATACATGGTTTCCATTTTTAGTACTCTGGTGTTCAGAATGTAATTCCAAAAATTATAATTTTTCAAATACTAAAGAACCTGACTTATCTTAGCTAAGAATATATACATTTCAGACAGAATGTCACCAGGCAAATAATTGTGCGGTGCCTTTTAGAATCCATACAAATGTCAAACTTTGAACTCTAACCAGCGTAGGTATCCAGCTTAAGTAACCATAGCGAAGTAATTAGGTTGATCCTAACACTAACAATATTATAGCCCTCTGGTTTTTCTAATCCACTAACAATAACCAAGTGACAACGAAGAAGCTTAGTGGAGAAAGCAGTGCCACCTGATTATTTCAGTGCATCTAAACCAGGGGTGTCAAACTTACTGTCTACGATACAATTACATCCAACCCGCAGGATCATTTTATATGTCAGTTATTAATGTGGAAGCCGAATCTTCAGCCCTGTTGAGAATCCATGCAGGCAGGGGTGGAACTTTATTTTTGATGGGTACACCATGTGGCCAATCACATGCAAAGACAGACTGGGATCATACCATTATGTGAAAGAAGGAAGGGGGCGGACGTTCCAAAGACAGCACGTGTAGTGGTGTAGGCCAGTTACATGGAGAGACAGCAGAGTCGGATTTAAATGCTAGCAGGTCATTGTGGAGGACAAAAGGTTTCAAACTTGTCCAGGCTTTAAATCGTGTGTTCTCTGTAGTGGTAGTAAATGCATAAAAACAGGGCTTTTATTAAAACAGTGGGGAAAAAAAACTCCTCCCTTGAAAAAGACTACATTTACAGTTCAGTATTGAATATTACATTAAAAAACTGTATACAAAATGTCTTTGAATGACAGAGATGCGGAAATGTCTGTAGTCATAGGTTTTACAGCTTTTACAGTTATATTTCTACTATAGAAATGTCTTTTTTTTAAATTACTACAGTTTTAAAAAATGGTCATATAAAAAACTGTTAAATATGTAACTTCTTTACACTGTGGGAAAGGAGAGTTTCACTGGTCTGGGCCACTTAAGATCAAAGTGGGCTGTATGTGGCACATAAACACTGCACTCATTTTATTTTACAGATAATGGTAATCATAATGATGACACACTTTCTGCATAAAAGATGCTTGTGCCCTGCAGATATAACACCTATATATGTGTAGACACAGGTGTTCATTTCAGTGTTTTGCTTGTTGACTAGTAATTATCATGATACTTTTGGTCTTTTTCTGATGAAAAAGACAATAACTATATGTAAAACCTAATTCGAAAGAAAAAATGTTTTGACAATTTTATTGACGAATAAAAACAAGATGAAGAGAGACGAGGTCCAATCAGAATGAATTGTCAGAAGAGTAATCATATGGACACATTTCATGTCAAGGAAATTCAGACACTTTTCAAAGCGCGGCGCATAGAGCAACTTTCACCGGTTAAAAACACAACAAACTGTTATACTTTCTATTTTTGTCAAATGAATTAGTCTACAACAGTCTTATGATATTTAATCAAATAAAACTAAGTTATGACTAAAACAAAATCAAAATTTGCGTCAAAATTAACACTGGAACATTTATGTATACCTTTACATGTCCAATCTGAGATGTTGCTCTCAAACACTCATTCCTCCTGGTCTCTCCAAAAACCCCAAAACAAACCCCCTAGCTTCGCTTCCTATCAATGCCACCATCTAACCAAACTATTCTGACAGAGGCTTTTTCCTGACTGATTTATCCTCAGCAATCAGGCGTGTTTTCAAAACTAAGAATTCTAATACGACTTGCCAGCTTGGCATAAAGACATCTAGCTGCTGTGATAGTGGCTGTTTGTTGGGTGTCATTGTGACAGATTCCCATTATAGCTTGTTCTGTGGCTAAAGATTGCTTCCAGTAAACAACGACACTTAAGGCACTTTGATTTGTGTGCTCTTTCCTTTGTTGTAATCTTATTTTAACTTTAC